AAATGAAGGTGGATTAACTAGGCGTAGGAGCTACTATCTGCATAAACAATGACACCTACATATTCATAGAGAAAGCGTCACGCATTTGGAAGCAAACGTGTCCGATTTTAACCACATTTTTTAAAACCAACTGCAAATTTGGAGCTTAATAGGGCACCCGTAAAACCTTTTTGACTCCGCCCATTTTGGTACCAATATTTTCAGAAGGAATGAGATGACTGGAAAAGTCAGTCCCATCCGTGAATGTCCACACATCGCGCAAAGCGGGTGCATCCATGCTGTCCATGAACCAGCCAGAAGCCATTCATTCTGATCCATAAGGTTATCCGTACAAAGCAGATCCAAAAGCGAATGTTGTACTTTTTGAATATCGTCATTTGGCCTCTTTGTTATTCTAGCCCGTCATTTCCATGTTATGCCCCCCCCCCCCCCCCTCCCTCTAGCATGCGTCTTGCAACATTGGTAAGGTAACACACTTACAATGTTGTTCTTGAACATTTTACCCGAGTATTTTATCCCAAGACTAATTAGCATTTTCCGAAATATTGAAAAATGTATTTGTCGCATAGTCGTGACAAGGGTGGCACTCAACCAACAACTCAATAGAAAAACGCGAGTAGCGGCAAAAAGAAGGCCGCCAGGAATTCCACAGTCGTCAAATCGTGACTACAAAAAAATATCCCTTTGACCGATCGATTTTTCGGTTGATTTCGTCGACGGTGATGCCTCCCATCTCAAGCCTTGACCTTGAACTCTTGAAAGATCGCTGGTTTGTCCACGTGGACGCAGTTTTCAAGGTTACTCCACAGCATTAAGTCCAAAGGTGACGGATCGGGCGACTGAGATAGCAGTGAGGAAATGTGACAACCCACTGCTCGGAAGTCTTAAGCCGATGTGCTTTCCAAGAAAATGCCCTTTCAGCCCATCTAGTGAAGCTCGCACGGGGTGTGGCGTTACCCCGACCTACTGGAGCCACTCCTCGTCCCCATTAAGTCGGTGAAGCCACGCTGGACGCCGACGGATTTGAAATCGGTCGGATGATGTGCTGGCGTCTGTTCCAGAAGACTCTGCTGTAGCGCTGTGGCGGTCTCCACTGGTTGGACTTCGGCGACCTTCAGCGCCTCGAACGTGTCCCTCATGACGTCCGGACCTTCTCCTGGTCTTTGTCAGATGCACTGGGCCGACCAACAGATGGCGACTGCGGCGCTGGCCCCACAGGAAAGCAACTTCCTGGGGCAGCACCTTGTCACTCTGAGCGTAATGGCACTTAGGTCAGTGTGCTGTGCCTTATAGTGTGCTGGTGCAATAGATACAATAGATACAAGTGTGCTGGCACACACTTGCATCTGAGGCGGTCAGGTACATACTTGGTGTGTTTTTCACTTTGTACGCTTTCGGCCGACCCCCCCCCCCCCCCTCCCACCTGCAATGCTGACTTGAGCCCCCTCAGTCTGATACTGTTGATATCTGCATGAGTATCATCTTCATCAGCATCAACAGCTTTCAATGCCATCACTATCATCGTGCATCATCATTATCGATATAAGATCGGTTTCAAACGGGTTGTCATCCCTCAACATAAAGACAACTTTGGAATAGCCAAATGTTCTTTAATGTTTGATTTTGACTGCAGGACCCCAATGAAGTTGCCCGAAATATGTGAAGAAATTAGGGTGCACGGCAGATAAGTCAACTTAATTAGTTTATCTCCAACAGATGTTAGAAATTGACAATCCTACAGGCACCCCTTCAAAATCTGGCATCTGCGCCCTGCAATGTCACTGCTTGGACTAAATACGGACATCTGACACTACACTCCATGATTTTTAGTTTTTGGTATCTGGTGTGACAACTTTTCATCTTGCGTTCAACGCTCCCAAGCCTGATGGTTGGTGTTCCTTTTTTCACCCACATGCCCCTAGCTTGTGGCGCATTAGCGCCGTCACAGAAATATTGGGTCTTGGATTGTTGTTTGTCTTCGCACAATCAAAAGGTTCACGAAATTTTGATAAATCGGTGAATTTGTATCAGGTATCTTTATGGGATGCCCGATAATTAAATGTTTAACTTGTTTGCTTTTATCCACTGCACAAACTTAAGGGAACGCTAATTGCACCATTCGCGGCCTACTTCACGTCGCTCAGCCCACGACTAGCGCCAACATCAGCCAATGCTGCGAGCAACGCACAATGCTCCCTCCCCCTAACTCGCGCACTGGTAAAGTGGCAGTGAGGGGACAAACGGTGCCCCCTTCCCTCCCTCCAACAAGCACACTAACACAGATTTCCAGCTGTAAGCAATGGCACTTGCGTTCGCATGCAATACCGGCGTTAGTAACCAGTTTACCAGACGCCCGCGGCGCCCCGCCCCTCCGGGGCATTGGACCCGCTGTGCCAGAGTGGCCACTGGCACCGCTTGGCCAAATGCGTTTAAGCTGCAAATCGCGCAGAAGTCCCTTCGAGGACCACAAATCGGAGGGCACAGAAAGTTCGGACATCCAGTCAGAGCAGGCATTCAGGAAGTCAATTGTCATACAGAAATTCTGAGTGAAGGTGACTTGCTGTTGCGGAAATGCCAAGAAGAGTAAAAAAGGTGGCGCATCAGTCACGCAAAATATTTAAAAGATTTCCATCCAAGATATCGAATCATGCAAAGTAGTAAGCAGCAGACGATGCATCTATTTTGCAAGCCAAAGGGTGGTCGGTGGTTAATCCACGCTTCCCCGCGTGGCACCACCTCCAGTGGCTGATGTTAACAATTGGAGCTGCAACATTCAATGACGCAAACAAATGTAAACAACGCCGCTTTTACACTTTCCCCGTAAAACTTTACCATGCACTTTGGTTACTAGAGAAAAAGCATCTGTACGATCCCCCTATATGTAAGGCACACTTCTTTAAAGAACATCGGAGGTCGCTGGAGAAGGATATGTCTGCTTTTAGCTCATTTGTTGCAATACGCGTACAGTAGCGTGATTCGTCAATCTTACAAGTATTCTTAACGAACAGCGCGTTCCCTCACCTGTAAACTGCCCTGTCTTCTCAAAATCTGACACCGAGGAATGACCGAGTTGAGCTCAATTTTCGGCTTTTAGTAATGCCAGGGAGCCAATGTTTAACGCCTTTTGATGACCTCCGGACCACCGGGAGGGTCCGGCCACCATGCCACCAGAATGCAACTAACTCCGAGCCGCGGCGGAAGGGCCTTCAGCCCCTGACCAGGAAATGTATTGTCCCCTCTCCTCCCCCTCCAGCCGGTGCGCTATTCCCATTACTTGAGTTTGAAAAAGAGCGGCGAACATGGGCCGGCCATATCGATGCATGCTTTTGACTCCGTTTCGATCTATGTTGGTGACCGACCCAAATGGCCCCCCAGGCATCTATGCAACCGCACCAAAGTCCAGCCACGCTCTTCACGATCATCGGCTTGGAAAGATCAAAATGAACCACGAAGATAGGTCCGAAGCAGGTGGTTTGTTCGGTGCAGCCATATAATACCTGGTCCATTTATCTTATGGACCTCTGAATGCAGGCAATGTTGCATCGCTCCGCATTATCTGGCTCCTATTCACTGAAAGAAGGGAACGAAGTACAAGTTGTATGCCTGGGAATAGCACGGGCCGAATCTAGCAATTTGACTTTTTTAGAGTCATTCGTCAACCCGGTCCCCCTGCTCCTAGGTATGTGACGGCAGCCTGCAAAGGATGCCGGAACCCCATAAACATGGAACCCTGTAGGAATCCTGGACTTACCCTTAGAATTCGAGAACTGATCGCTCGACTCGGCCTTAATTCTCGAGCTTCGATGACGTGGTATGGCTTTGAATCGCGGGAGAGCGCGCTTTCGTTTTGCGCTGGTTTTAAGTCCTCACGAGCATAAGCATGCGAGCTAGAGGGCCTGTAGTAGTTCAAAGATATGGCAAATTTTCAAGGTGTTCATGGAACAGATGTGAATGCTATAGACAGTGCAGCAAATAGGCTCGTTGGTGCTGTGCTCGTGACCCACGTGGGACGCCAGCTTAGACCCTCAGCTGGGACTATGACCTAGAGGTGCTTCTTTCACCGCCATAGCTGTTCGAGCTCCATAAACGCTTGCGCGACCACGTTCGCCACCTTTCCTTTTCATGAAACACAAAGTAGACGTAACATTGACCAGGCCTATCGATTACCACTTGAGCCCTATGATCCGATGATTACATCCTATGATTCCAGGGATCGATATGATTGGTATGATTCCCGGATATGATTTCTACATGATTTTTACCCGCTCACCGCCGGGCGGTGGTGGACGGCGAAATGCCCCGCGCGGTGCCGGAGCGAAATCATGACTCGAGTCGGACGAGACGGCTGTCCTAGCCCGGCAGTCATGGACTACCACACAGCCCAGGATCACAGGTCAGTCAGAGATGACCAGGCTTAGTCATCAGGGCATTGGACACGGACTTCCCGCGTGGAAAGTCAGTGCTTTAAGCTTAGTGCATGTAATGATGGCCCCCACGTGTACCTCCCAGACCCCCCTGCGCATTGGATGACTGTATCCGGTTAGAGAATCCAGGATTCGCTTCTTAAGTAGTTGCGAACGTCTGCTGTCTTGAGCGGAACCTCACAGAACGGGCAGATAAGGCCTCGATGATAGATAGTGGAGGAATCGCGAGGAATTCATACCAGCTGCAAATGTCCAAACAGTAGCTGAAATGGCAAGGATCATCGAAAAAACGTATTGGCCCGCTGAGGGCATGCGGATTTTTTCAAATAACGTTGTCAATATAATAATGCAGACATTTGGATAGCATCCATCCCGAGCACAAACAATGGGTGAAATCTATAGTAGCGTCCAAAATGGATCGCTCTTCACTATTCTCGGTACGCTGTACAGCTTTCCAGGGTAACGATATGTGCAGATTTCAAATAAATCTTTCCATGACACGTGACCTGTCTGGTTCTGCTCCCTGCGCATCCTGCGATCTCGTTAATTATCGAACACCCGAGGGACTGCCAATCACACAAATAATATGTATATTCTGGATTCGCATATGCACCGAGACCGGTGTGAAACGGCCAATCGCGTCAATCAACAGACAATACCAGTGTCTGTCTACACGTGATGCATTAGCGGACATCAATACCACTCGTATTGGTGACGTTCGGCCTGTATGCCAACGCACATAGGCAAGCCACCTACACGGGGAGTTTGAAGCTGACGCGGCAGCAGTACTGCAGCCGGCCTGAAGCCCAGAAGAAGCCGCCGGCAACATGACGAAACGGCCTCGTGGCCACGCCAAGGACGACATCCAGAGGCTGCGAGCCACGCAGTGAATAAGAGCGAAATCCTCGCAGCCGCGAAGTCAAAAAGCGCATCCATTACCGTTGAACGCGAGACAGCATGAGCCGCGTCCAGACGGCCCGCTACATCACACCCACGGCACGGCGAGCACGCTGGCCGACCTCGGCGACCCCAGACGACCCGAGGTCAGGTCACCGGATGTCGAGCAGAACCTTGCCAGTCGACTTCCGTTCGGAGATGAAGCTCAGCGCCTGGTTGACCTCATCCAGCGGGAACTGGGCGGACACGTGGGGCGCGATCAGGCCGGCCTCGTGCAGCTCGATCACGTCCAGCACGGCCTGCCTGCGGCGGCCGGAGGGGCGGGGTGTCGTCAGCGTCGGCGACGGCGCCGGGTCGGTCGTGACGGGGCGTCACGGGACGCTCCTTCGTCACGGGACGGGCCGAGGCGGGGACGCCGGCAGATCAATGGGCTCAGACGTGTGAGAATGGCGACAACCGCACACACCAGCTGACGAAAAACTGGCGAGCGTTTGACCAAAAAGCGTGTGTTTTTGCCAACGACAATTTGGGTAGTTCAAACCCACCACAGCAGCATCTTAGAATAGCATGCATGCAAGCGTGCAAATAAGAATCATACGCATGGCAAAGCACATGGGTGGGCATTCAGAAGTAGGGCTGACTTGAACGTGCCACAGAATAGGGGCCCGAGCAGAAATGAATTAACCATGGCTCAATTTTCACCATCTTAAGAAGACGTTCGTTTCATTCAGTTCCCGGATAACTTAACCGACCGCATCACATCCCGCCCGAATGTCGGCGCTGTTGTGTGTTAGAAGGCGGACAACAAACAAACTAAGAAGAAATGACGCCGTGTCACGAACGAGACGGCACGTGCGGTGATGAAACAGTACTCCACCATCCAAAGCAAGCGACGAAAAACGCGACGACGGTGTGACGTGTTGCCAGTGCAGCACAGAGATGCCAGATCCAGCACAGATCCATGAGTTTCGCTGGTCATCCCGACATGGCATTACCGAAGCGACCGCGCCCCGACACCGCGCGGTCCCACCATCGGCACGAACCGGGAAGCGCTCTCTGCCCTATCTCCGGCTGTCAGCACGAGCGACGGTCCAGAACGCCTCCAGCCGTGAAGCCAACCCGGGCCGGCCGGCGCCGGTGCCGCCAGCTCGGCCCCTCTCAGCGGGCTCCGTTACCTGAAGACGGCGTTGTCGGCCTCCCGGTAGTGCCGCAGCGAGAGGCCGATGAGGGCGAACGAGCGCGGCAGCAGAGCACTCGTGGCCACGTGCGGCACTGTGCGCGACGCGAAACCGGCCACGATCACCTTGCCCTCGTGCGCCACACTGCGGGACGAGGCGCGGGGGCGGGTCACACCTGGACGGCGGCGTCGGGAGACGGCCACTCACACGGCAACGGCGAGCACACGCGAAGGGCAGGGCGTGGGCCGTCGCACGCGGAGGACAGGGGCCTGGACCGTCGCAGGCCCGAAGAATGTTGGATCTTACGCTGTCGTGCTACACTGTCTCCCCCCACTCTGCTGCAAGATAGAAGTCGTAGCACGTCTACTTGCCATAGAGTACATCGAGTGAAACGCTGCATCGAGCTGAAAGTATCAATCATTTTTCATCGATTTAGGTCCACACGAGCTCAGCACGACCAGTAAGGTGACCGTCCTGGTTAGGTCAGTGGCGGCAGCGGAAAGTATCACGATTTAGAAAGGCTGTATCTGATGCGAAGAAACAGCCAGAAGTCAATGACTGTTTTGCAAGGAAGTACAAACTTAAATTAAGAAGTACATAATCAGCCTGTCGCCCAGCTGAGAATAGATTTGGCTTCTATACGCGTCGCAGCGCCACCAAAGCATTGTGTCAGTACAACCCACATCGCAGAGAGCATTTTCGATTCAAGAAATAGCCTAACCAAGTCGCCAATAACAAAAGCAACAACACTCCAAAACGCGCTGAGTGTTGACATTCCGTGGGCCGACACGGCGGTCCGACGGACCATGCCAGGCCCTCTGCCGCGTCTTGCCACCACACTAGCCTCACCACTTGATCGCCTCCTCGAACACCTCGCCACCGACCGCGTCGAAGATGACCTTGATGCCTCGCTCGCCGGCCACCTCGTGCACCTTGTGCCGCAGGTGGTCGCGGTGGTAGCCGAGCGCCGCGAACGCGCCCTTCTCGCGCACCAGGGACGCTTTGTCCTCCGTGCCGCAGACGGCGATCACCTGTCCGGGTCGGGTCAGGCCAGGTCACGTCAGGCTGGGTATTCAGGTCACAGACAGCGACCACATACCCGGTCCAGGTCAGGTCAGGTAGTCAGATTACGCAGGGATTACATTCCCAAGTCAGGTCAGGTCAGACAGGGTAATCAGGTCACGCAGAGGGAGATCACATTTCCAGGTTAGGTCAGGTCAGACAGAGTGGTCAGGTCACATACAACAATGATATGCCCGGATCAGGCCGGATCAGATCAGGCGGGAAAGTCAAGTCACATACGGCTATCGCCTCTACGCGCTAGGCCAGGCCACTGAAAGCTATGGTTCATCGCAAAGCATGCAACAACTCTATCGTGCTGTTGACGTTCTGAGGAATCAGCTGAAGGCTCCAAAACTAAGAATCGGCTGATAAATGACAGACACGAAGACACTGATTAACGAATGAAAACAACAACAGAGTATACGAAAGTTGTGGGCATGTGATCTAAATGGCCACTCATGTTCTGAATTCGTGTTTCTAAAGAGAGGTTTGAGACGTAAGTCGGGTTGTTCTAACGTCACAGCGCTGGAAGTCATCTCCACCGCCCCGGTCTGCCACGACTCCAGCCGATCATGGCCGACTGAATAGCGCTCCCGCAGCCGGCGCCACCAGCACAAAGCTGTAGTCGGCCCACCATGGGTGGCATCACACGTCTTCTAAGATGCAGCTCAAATTCACCGAGGCGCTAAACCATTGCAGCAGTAACCAACTCTGGCTCACGGGGACTACGCGTACTCATACGGGCTGTGCCCGCACGTACTCATGCGGCTTGAGAGACTAAGTCTCAGCATGTTGTGTCGGGCCCCTCTCTGCCCATTACATCGCCCCGCGAACCGGCCTCAGCAGCGCCCACGGACCGCCAGCGCCTACAGCGGTCCGAGGTACGGACGGGACCCGTGACAAGTCCGGCGGCGTCATCACCGGGTCACCGCCTCTCGCTGAACAGCCTTGTCCAACCGCCCGGGCCCGCCTGGCCCACACAGAACTCCTCAGCGCCAACCCCACGCCAGGAGCGCTCGGCGGCCGCTGTGTCTCAGTCCTCGTCCAGCGCGCGGCACTGGAAGGCCTTCGCACCTGACACTTGAAGACGTTGGCGGCTAGGTCGACGGCAGCGAGGCCGAGTCCGCCGGCGGCCGCCGTCACCAGGACCGTGTCGCCCCTCTGGAGGGCGGCGCGCCGCTGCAGGCCTAGCAGCGCCGTGGCGTACGTGTCCGCCAGTGAGGCGCCCGCCTCGAACTCCAGCGAGTTGTCCACCGGGAACAGGTCCTGCGACCAGAGGTGCAGCGCTGACAAACGGTCGGCACGAGTCCAAGGGGCGGGGAGCCGGGCCCAGCCTCCAGCCAGTGCGGTCACGTGATGGTAAGAACCAGCCTGTAAAAACTGGTGAGAACCAGTAGCGCGGGACAGCGGTGCCGGCGCGCCTGTGACGGCTGCGGCGGGTTGGCGTCCGCCTTATACCCATTGCCATTCCACTCTATCATGTTTGAGCTTTCAGCTGGACCACGCTGCATCCAAAAGGTGCTCGTAACGGAGCGTGGCGCAACTTTTCAACAGCACGGTCAAAATCAGACAGCAAATCACGACTAGCTTCAAAGACCGTGGCACGGTCCTTTGGCTTAATCTGGGGATCTACAAGGTGTATCGCTCGGTCAGGCCTGAGCCCCGTCTCTGTAGGAACCAGAGTGAACTTGGGCCGGGTCAGCCCACACCACAGGCATCCGGCCGGCATCAGGGAGCACTGTCATGGTGCTGAACCATGCATGAACAAACCCTTTCCAAATCAAATGAAACGTTCTAATGCTATGAGTCATTATTATGGTTTATGTAGAAAATCGTTATCTGCTCTCCATTGTAGAGCTATTTCTATTGCTGCAGTCAACTCTGTGCAAGAATGAATGCGACAGAGCCAAAACTTCAATGACTTTGAAACAAAACAGGAAAGTTCAACATCGACAGTTGTGGTGCGCACACATAGGCGTGAGACGATTATGGAGGTCGCTCAAGACGCAGTGTTTTCCAGAGCACCACAGCCAGCTCAAAACAGAACAACGCAAACTCAGAAACGGAATGCAGTAATAGTGCAGGCTACCAAACAACATGTTCGCTGCCTGCACAGTGTCAATCACAAACGGCTACTGCCAGCTAGATCAGTGAGCATTAAGGCGGCCCGAGTGGCCGGCGACCCCGTGCTGCACGCCATCACTGGCGGCACGCCGGCGTACCGCGACGTGGGAGACGATCTCCTCGGCGAAGCCGCCACTGCCGGTGCTCTGCAGACCGATCACGCGCCCGCCCTTCTGCACGGACGTCACCTGGGAGCCCACCTGTGGACACAGCCAGTGATCAGCCGCCAGACACGGACTACCGGGCTTGCCCAGGAGTCCACCTGTGGACATGGTCAGTGATCAGCCGCCAGACACAGACCACCAGGCTCGACTGGGAGCCCAGCTACTGGTGCACATGGAAAAATGGTCAGCCAACTAGATAGCTCATTTTGCCAGGTGGCAGTGCGATAGTTCGCCAGAAATAGCTAGGACTTGATACTATGGTATCTATGGAATATGGAGGGACGTCATTATTTGATTCATTGCAACCTTCAATTTCAATTTTGATTTTGATTTGGAATGCAATTTCAGACAACCCTCCCTTCCTTGGCTAACAGCACAGTGAATACAAAGCCATGATTGCTTGCACAAAGAACTACACCACTGAACAATTTTCTAGGGAATTGTGCACACACCACATGCATGCTGAAGTAAACGTGCTGAACTTGGCTGTAGAACTATGCAACCTAGCAACTTGCTGCAGAGCTTTACAAAATCATTCAATCATTTGACATTTGAGAACATCCTGGGAAAACTGTAGTACCAAATCATTTGCCTTACTGACTATGCACCCAGACCACTTTCCTGTAAAGCATGCACCATGGCCCCTTCCATGGAAAGTTACACACCTCAGTAACTTCACCAGAGAACTCGAAGCCTGGCACAAACGGTAGCTGTGGCAGATTTTCATACACTCCCTGGCATGTCAGGATGTCAGAGGCATTCACGCCGCAGTTGTAGACATTAACACGCACCTGAAGCAGGGAGAAATGGTGGCATGATGGATCCTTACAGCAGAGGAAGCAGGGGTAGAGATATTTTCACCTCTCTTGCTTGATAGCTAGCAATAAACAATACTAGCACATTTAATAAACACTATAAAATATTACAAAATATGAAAATATTGCAACAAGCTTGATGTTTGAGAAACAGATATGTAGCCTAACATGAATAACTTGCAAATAGCTATTTTCTGTATTAATATTGATAGCAACATAACTTATAATATACTTCCTATATAACTCCACTTATCTTGCCAAGCTCAAAACCACAGGGCCAGGCAAAAAAAAGCAAACATACAGGCCCAGTGTAGCAGGAGCATTCTGGGAACAATTTCAGGTCACACAAACACCATACATTAGAGCAATCAGAGTTTGGTGCAGTACCACCAATGTTGGTGCATAGAGAGCCAGAATAAACCATATATATGTACACATATGTGGATTAGATAACTTCAGGAAAAAAATCTCCAAAGGATTGCTTACACAACATGATCCATAAATTGCATAAAACTTGGCCTAGCCTGGATTTTGTGTATGCCATAGAGAGGCCCTGATCACTGATGTAGTGTGGTTGCCTAGTGATGGACTTTTTGCATGTTGGAAACTGGACCTGGGGTATCTGAAATAATAAAAGTATATCACCTTGTAAAGTTAGCACACTAAAGATATTTACCTCATGATCTCCCAACTGCTTTGACTTCAGCTCCTGCACTTCCAAAGCCTTTCCAAACTCTGTGAGGACAGCTGCCCTGTAATTTCTCATCTGCTGCTGGATGGGTCTTGCAGCCATTACAAGGTTGCTGGCAAGACGTCTCAAAGCCATTTTGATGACCTGAAAAATGTTCGTTACTTTTTCACGACGTTTTCACCTAGCATTCACAGCAGAAGCATCACGCACATCAGCATAATCACGGGATTTACGGGTCAACGGCTCCATCATCCAACATCATGTACTTTAAGGGCGAGGCACACTGCATTATATGTGTCTCTAAAGGAATACATATGACGATGCATTACGTGCTCATGTGTTGCCTGAGACGGACGGGATCTAACAATTATCATATTTACTTTGCACTACCCCAGCATTACTCGAGAGACATCGATGGACGGCCCCGCAACATCAGCATCACTGTATCGGGAGCCCGGGCTTATCGTCTCTGCTGCGCCACGTTTCATACACCAGTGGACAGCCAAAATACGGCAATTTTTCCTGCGACGTGATAACGTAAGAGTGACGTCAGGTGAAGATGTTCTATGAGCTCTAAGTACGATAGGGTGTAATCTGGTATGGTGTGACCACGCCTGGCAGTAACTTCTCTGTTCTAGATGCCACCCTAAGGTGGCAATGGGATAAATCCAGTGGACGGTTCATCCATGCACAGTATAATGCCTTGGTGAATACTGACGTCGTTACGCCTGAGTTTTTGCGTCCTACCTAGTAGTATCAAACATTATGCAGACGTAATTGTCCGCGTGTTTAAGAAAAATTGTGAACATTAGGACGATTCGCCGTTGTGTGGAAAACTAGATGTTGCCCTGGTAGAGCGTGGGACAATATAAAAACTTCACTAACACCTAGCAACCGCTCTGGTGGACATTAGAACACGATGCACTCAAGCGGGGTAAATCTTACCCCTCTTGATGTCTCCAAAATTAAAAGCGCCACAGACACCAGACTGACGGGATACAAGACACTCTATGTGAGCCTTCGAATTGGGATGTCCCTAGGCCATGACTTTCGGGCCAAATAAGACCTAATAAGCCCAAACTCCAGTTTGGTATCGGAAGTACTATCAGACCTCCCGATGCTATATTTAACCTAGACACCTCATATAGCGAAAAAAGCAATCTTCAGCAAGTAAAAATAACCAAAACCATCGATTTCATTGTGACACTTGAAGATGCAAACGGCAACAAGTACCATTCTACACGCAATTCTCCGCAAGCAAAAGGTCAAGCGATAGTTTTAAGCCTGTGACCTCCTTGATCTTCATTACACCGAAATGAGCATCCTTTGAAGTTTTCGTGGTTCAGGAATTCAAAACTAGCATCAAAAACTATCCATTAAAGCAGGTTGTCCGGCGGTAATAGGTGTTTTGGTTTTTGGCTATATCCGACCTTCATACCTGCTTATCATACCATACTTGTCAATGGAATTAGACGTAATCCTAATTGTAATCGTCCAATGGTCAAAAACAAAACTACGTCAAATTAGATGACTTCGTATGTATAACACTCCGTTGACGTATCATATTGAACGATGCCTAAGGAATTGCTTTCGCCGACAATAATGGTCTAACTTCGACCTGCTAAAGATCAGCGGCACACATGGAAAAACGGTACAAGACAGCATTAGGGGACAGTGAAGCCAGCCATGGCACGAGAGAGCCCGACCTGTACGGTTGCGAGTCACATTCTCAGAGCCAGGGATGTGTAGGAAATTTGTACACAGAAAATGGTCGCAATCATCTGGTTCTTCATCAGCAATAATCAGAGGCCGCAGCCATGGCCGAGAAACTCCCAGCACCAATTGCTTCGGTCAAGACAATCTCAGACACTGAAAAAAACCACTGGTTTGTTCCAGCTGACGCAGGGCCACTGAACAATGGCCATGTGTCAACTGTACAGCGGCTATGGGCGAGTAGCTTGGATTGTTCAGGAAAACCAACGATCAGCTTATTGGCACCGGAGAAGAGGCAAAACTGTCATCCATTTTTGCAAGTGTGTATCGGATATTTATAGTTCTTGCGTAAAACCTAAGGTGTGGTGAGATGGCATTTGTATTTTCTTGCCGTTTGTCAATCTATGTAAACGTAGCATGGTCATCTGTGTCCTAACTCGTTGGCTTAATTCACATGCCTGTCCATTGTCACTTGGCAGTAGTATTAAACAGGTTTTATAATCCGAAAATATATTGTTTGGTGGTCTTTCATGTATTTTTGTTCACCCTGAGACGTCAAATACATATCAGTTTCACGCAAAGCTCTACCAACAGCCTCGGGATATATATACCGTCACCCGTAGGTCAGACAGCTGATACTTCACAGAATGAAAGGGAGTGTTCCACATTTGTACAAGGTTTTGAACCGAAATGGCCATCTTGATGACCTTTCGATGTAGTTTACAGCTCTACCTTTCTAAAGACCTAAACCCCTCTAATTGCTGGGCAACACGACCGCGAAAATGGGGAGAGTATTTTAAAGTCACACTGGGCTTCATGACGTCATAATAACGTCATTTAAATACTTTTACGTCATTTCGTGTTCCGCGTTTACAGTTACGTCATGTTTTGCGACGTGGAAAAGCTATTTAGACACTCACACCCTCGGATATCAGTTTTGTGTTGGAAAGACAAGATAAAAAAGCGTTTCTACGGAATAAAAGCCAAAATCGGACAAGATGTATCGTTGAAACGACGGATTTTGAACTCTCTGTCGGGAGCTCTCTTTGGTGAAAAACAACAGATCTAGGCCTAACGAGAGACCCAGGATACCCCAGGCACCTCCCTTGGCTGCATCCCTGGATCTGAGGGAATTTCCTTTTCCAATGTAAAACTAGAATCGAATCTACTGAATTTTTCCCGATGCCGCGGGGTTAATGACCATGACAACCAGGGTTTCACGGGCTTCAAACTGTGACGACACCACTTTCTCTGACCAATCACAGGATTAGATTGCCGTCCGAATTCGCAGCAAGGGTTTTAGAAGCAGTGGCACTTTTTCGTCATGCTGAAGACACCGGCGCGTCCTTCCCTCCCCCCCCAACCCCCAACCCTCCCCCTCCCTCCCCTGACCACGGTCATGGTCAGCGTAGTGGTGCGCCGCTGGCTAATGCGTGTGGTATGCGAACGCGAACGCGTGTGGTAGAGAACGAACGTTCTCTCGTGCTTATGTACACACCTCCTCAGCAGCCTTTTGATAGTAGCTGACTCCAACTCGTTCAGAAGTTCACCGGATCGAACTGATCCTGGGCCGCGGCTGCGACGGATGCTGTAGATCTGACGTGTCCGACTGTGAGAGCAGGCTCGATGGCCTGACCGAAACGGGCCGGTTTGGTCAGTGTCCTGCTGTGACAGATTCATGGGCTACTGATTCCCCACCGGAACTTCCTTTCTGCACTTTATATATAGCTCGTCACCGAAATACAAGTCCCAGAAGCCAACGGTGGCAACACGTTATTGTTTTGGTCAACGGAAATCTTGAGCTTCACCACGCGAGATGTGCGCAGCCGCGTCAATGCGTGCTTCGACTACTATGACCGTCCCAAATGTGCCGAGAATTAAACATGTTTTGTGTAGCGTGCTTTGTGTATCTTTGCTCACTAAACAAGACAACAATGCCGCTGCATTTGTGCACAAAGTATGTATAAATGTTATTGCTGTAATGTGTACAGCAAAACATGGAGTTAAACATGCTTGCACACTTGAGCACAAACAAACAATGCGCATGGTTTCATGGCACGCATCACAACCAGGGGCGGACCCAGGATTCCGTCAAGGGGGTGGGGCCACGCAACGTCGTGGGGCCCCTAGGGTTTGCGGCCCCCTCCAAAAAATATCCTCGCATTTCGGCCATTAAATTTTAAGCTATATAGTAAGCGGCAAACATATAATATATATATATATATATATATATATATATATATATATATATATATATATACATGCATAGTTAAGATGGAAACCTATCCTACTGTGCTAATGTTGGGCATGTTATGCATGCACATGCATAGAGCTCATTTATTTTCTCCAGATCACATAAGTCCTGTGATTTTGGCTACTAATTACCATCAAAGCCAAGCACGGACTTGATCCCTAGTGTATTTATGGCTAGCTAGCTGGGTGATGTAATCAGCTGATAACTGATCACCAATGTACAATTTCTTATTTGCCACAAACGAGTACAAAAACATTCTAGTGTTCAAAATACGTTAAAAACGTGATGTGCAAGTTTGATGAGTGTCATACACTCAATCGCCAAGGGAAATGACACTTGCGACGTCGGAGGCACGTAACATTACCTTCGACACTTGCGCGTAAAAAGTCGTCGGCCGCTTTTACGACTCCTGCTCTGAGGTTAAGGCACCAAGGCTAATAGGGACGGAACCTGACCGATCATTGGTGCCCTGTGAGGCCAACAGAGAGGCTCCCGTCAACAGGTATAGGGTCCTCGGGGCAAATGAAAAGAATCCAAGATTCAAGGTGGTGGGCCCCTAAACGATGGTGGGCCCCCGGCAGGCTGACATATAAGGCCCCGGTCAGAGCAAAGGCATACGAGACCATGAATTGATACCCCTGTGCGATGATACCCCCCAAGCAACAGCACAAGACCGCCCGAGCAAGTGAAAAGAACCCAAAACTAGTATGAGGGGCTCCTGAGTAGCTGAGTGTACCCTGACCAGTGGGGGCCCGGAAAAGCGTTATAGAGCCTTTCGGGCGAATGGAAAGAATCGGTGGAAGGCTCCTGATCGACCAAGAATGCCCAGGCATGGAAGGAGAGTGTCCCACTAGCTTTAGTGTCCCAGTAGATTTAAATTCTTGCTTATACTTTCGTTTGCAACCGGTCCATGGCGTCTGCAGGTCCACACACGTCCAATTTTGTTGTGTTTTTTATTAGAAAGCTGTGTCCGTTCAGCCAAGTTATCAGCCAATTCGAAGCCTGTGGGTGCCCTCTGCATGGTCCATGGGGCGTGGTCGGTCCCCCCCCCCCTCCCCGCCCCTTATCCGCCGCGGCCCCAGTAGCTTAATAGATCGGGCCCGCCAAGACCGTAAGGCCATCAATTCAATAAGAAACACTCAAGACAACATAGAGGGCCCCGGAGTGATCGAGCGCGACAGAGCAGGTTAACAGATAGGCCCCCTCAACAGCGCAGGGCCATCCATTCGAATAAGAAGCACCCAAAACACAATGCAAAGGCCCCCGAATGACTGAATGTGCACGAGCAGCCTTATCAGAAGGAGCTCGACAAGAACGTAAGGCCCTTCACTCGAATAAGAGGTACCCAACAGCCCAGTGAGTCGGTAACCCCAGCCGAAAGATGATGAAAATGTACCCCGAGCAGGTTATCAGATGGCCCGCGGTATGAGTGGTACGGCCCTAAATGCAG